ATCATTCGAAAGATGGTGTTCAAGGTTAGTTCAGCACTGAAGCATCGGTGTGGTGCATGACTCTGGGTTCGAATCACGCGGGGCTTTCAACCATAGCCGTTCGGCATTGCAACACGCAAGCCAAAACCATCAGAGAAATCCGCAAAGATTTGTCACGTCACGGGGAGCCCACAAGCGCAAGCCCCCTGCACGAGTGTGTAACAAGATCAGCCTCATCCTTCAGCATGCACGCAACGTGTGCCAACTGTTCATGCACATGGCTTTCATGCAGTTGTTCTTGCACAATTCTCTAATACTAAGTCCTTCTGGAAAATATTTCACGTTCTCTCAGCAGGAAACCCAATTGCAGGGATCCTTCAAGTCTGGATTTCTAACAACATCCCCGTCAAAACCAGTGAAGGCTTTGGAAAATGATGAGTTTCGTTTCAGATGGCTTTGCATCTATCAACTAGACATGCACCCACGGCTTACCCGGAATAACCTAGGAGTCACAGAGGACATGCTGTAAGCACGTTAGCCCCATGGGCCTAAATTCTGTTTTACCTGACATATGCCTCAAAAAGTCATCTTTCGATGTAGGTCGCCCTGCAGACCATCCCTTTACATGCCCTAAGCCCTCAACCCTAAGGCTCAAGCCAAGAGACTGGCCATGGGACGTACTTGCCCCATGAGCGGATGGCTGTCTTCCTTAAGCTCCAAATAAATTCTGAATAATATTCAGGTAATATTGGGATAATGGAGAATCAAATGGAGATTAAACTGGAAAATTGAATGGACACCTTAGGTCCCTTTAAAGGGGTTATGTTAAGGGGACATATTATTTTAAGCTCCAAATAGATGGATTTAAGGGTCGAACTATTCCCACTGACCCTATAGAGCCTACAGGATTAACAGTTGGGACTTACTGGAGGTTAGCAGGGAATAAGGGGACCTATCCTACGGGGAGGTTTTCCTTCTTCTCTATCTACCACAGTAGGTAGAGTTGAGCTTGTGGTTCAGAGCTGCACCGTCTTGATTGCTTCGCCAGTCACGGTTGAGGGTGTTGTGGCCTTCAGGTTCAGGGTCACGGCTTTTGCGGCGTTAGGGCGATTGAAGGTTTTATGGTTTATGGGCTCAGGGTTGAGGATGTCAGGCTCCCACGGTTTTAGGGTTCAGGGCTGAAAGCGTGATGGCCTTAGGGTTCCGGGTTGCAGGTTTATGGCTTCAGCGTTTGTCCGCTCCGTCGACCTGTAGCATTGTGTTGGACAGTCAAGGGAGTCCGAAAGCCCAATGTAGGCCTGCACATGGGGCCCATGGCCTTGGGGCCTGGCAGATGTTCGGCCACTCGCAGGTTTGCTTGCTTGAGCCCAGGCCTGTGGGAGAGGAATGGAGGAAGCTAGCCAAAGGCAGCTGCTGCTGCTCCACAAGCCCGAATCATCCGTATCATCAGAGTTGCGCTTCTCACCCCTGAGCCCTTTGCGGTGCTTATTTGAGGTGTGAGGCTTCATAGGCTGGCTGTATGAAGGCTCGTGAAGGAGTGTTGTTGCGTGGTTCCTTACGGGGTTTGCGCTTTGAACGCGCTTTTGTGAAATTTACCCGTTTTTCAACGCGTTCAATGTACTCAAGGTCAGAGAGCTGTCCAACTCGTTTCATGGATTTCTGTGTTTAAATTAAAGCCCAGTCGTGCTGCTGATGCAGCTGTCTGGGACCAGCGGCGGGTCGTGCGCTGGTGGGCTGGAGGTCGGTTTTAATTACCTTGGACCCTTGCTATATAAGGCTGCTACTACAGCGCTTATGGCTGCGCTGGCCCATGCCGCAAGGCCTAAAATTATAGTTTCAAGGTTCAGGATGTTCTGATTTCAGGGTTCACGGGTGGCTTTGGAGTTTAGAGTTGAGGGTTTTTATGATGTTCGGAGGCAGCGTTCAGGGCTGTATGGCATTAGGTGTCATGATTTTGGGGTTCAAGGGAGGTTGAGGATTTTGTGGCTTTGGGGTTCCGGATGCGGTCTTATGCTTTGAGGGCTCAAGGTGGAGGACCTATGGTTTGAAGGTTTACGATTACGGGTTTTACAGCTTCAGGGTCTTAAAGGGCGAAGGGTTCCACAATTCGAGGGATAGGAGTTGACGGTTTCATATGGCTTCAAGGTTCAGGGTTGGCGGCTTTATGGTTTTAGGCTCGAGGGGCTTCATGAGTTTTGGGTTCAGGGTTGAGGGCTCCATGATTTAAGATTTAGACTCGGGATTTATAGGGTTTGGGGTTTAAGGTAAGTTCGGGTGCTGGGTTTCGTGTTGTCGGCTTCTTTCTTTGCATCACCTGAACGTGTCCGTGCGAATGCAGAAATATCAAATAATTGCGCATGAGCTCAGCTTCTATCCCGTGCTTTAGCAGACGCAAATTAACACTGATTGCCTTGAAGAACAAGGTAACAAACGGTTGGAAAGACGCAGGCACTCAAGTCGATATAGTCCTTATTGATTTCACCCTATTCCGACTCTACTCAGCAATGACGTGGAGGTTGCTATATGCCCCTGCTTACAAGTGGTTAGCAGGGAATAAGGGAGTGCAATCCCGATACAATATGATCTCTTATTCCCTAACTCCCAGTAAGCCTAAGACCGCAAGACTCCAAACCCCATACAAGAAAAAAAATCAACGCGAGCCGACTTCGCACAGGCCATCTGACGAGCATCGTCTTGTCGAAGATGCTCTCCATGAGTCGAATCTGAACATTGCAACACGAAAGGATGTGGGGGTTTGGTAACAAGATGGTCCCTTCCTGGGTACCGAACCTATCATGGGGCCGAATGATACAGCAGGAGTCTGGCCTTGTTTTGTGGCACCCCAGAGGCAACCCCTTTCTGTTGGCATTGTCTTTTCACAGGAAAAGAGGTCCCTGAGCAAGACAAAATGCGTCAAAGAGCCTTACTCTGCCGCGCCGTTATATAGAGATGCTACCATCACATGCAGCTTAGGGTGTAGGCTTAAGGTTTAGGCCCCCGCATCGTCGGCTCCAGGTTTTTAATGCAGAAGGTCCTGGGCTGCAACTACAGTATCTGCAGCTGCAGAAAAGTTTTATACTGATCTTAGGCACTCACACCAGGATGCCCCGTAACACAATATACGGCTTAATCCGCCTTCGATACCTCCACTACAACATTGCAGGGGTAGGTGCCATAATTAAGCATTCGTACCACCAGGGTCCCACAAAGTGAGCTCATTGCTCAGCCCTGTCCACATCACTGCTGGCTATGTTTGGGCGCAAATGCTAGCACCGCCAGGATACAGCACAAAGAGGCCACCGCACCATGTGACTCAGTAGAGTGAGTGGGGTAACCCAGAACCCCAGAAAACAGCCCACTCCGCGGAGAATAATAGTCTTTGTAGGGGCCTTGTTGGGGCTTCATATTAAGTTAGGGAGATGGCATCATTCGAGATCACCCCAGCAGTATCAATATTTAGCGCATCAGTACCTGTCGTAAACATCCCAGGCTGTCTTCAAATGTGGTATTTGGGCCTCTGCATGCTGGCCCATGCATGGACTCGTCGACTTGTCATCACCATGTAGTGGAATATGCTCGATTCAGCGGTTTTGTCAGTTGTTAGGGTCCGGAATTAGGTTAGTGCTCAGGGCTCAGGGTTCGGTACAGTCTATACCTCCAAAAGCATCCCAAAACCTTAAACCCTAAACCTTAGACCCTACACCGTAAACCCCAAGCCCTACACCCGCTAAACCTGAAACCCTGAACCTTGACCTGGTGATTCGTGCTTGCTGGCGCCTCTGCCACTCCACGGTCGAAGTTAGCCACAGCCTCTACTAAGTCTCTTCTGATTTTTGGTTTCAGGCTTTCCCCTGAAGGGATCAGGTTAGGGTTTAGGGTTTGTTTAGGGATCAATGTCTAAACAATACATATATTGGGGTTTAGGGCTTAGGGTATGGGGTTTTGGATTTAGGGATCAAGGTCTACAGATAATAGCTACATTGGGTCCCAATGTCTATAAATGATACCTACATTGGGCCATTTTGGGTTTCAGGCTTGCGGGTTGGGGATAAAACGGATTAGAAGGAGCCTTATAGGGGGCAGAAATACTACGAGAATCCATACCCTAACTTCCCACTAAGTGTTTTGTATACCTGGCACCCCGCTGGAGATTTGAAACCATGCTTCTGCTGATGGTGAGGGAAATTCAACCACTGATCGTGACATTCTGCGATTTCTTGGGCTTCAACGCAATACTTGCCTCAGTGCTGCGTGAAAAGATTCTGTCATACGGCTTGGCCAACGCCGGGGCAACTTACTAACATGCTCATCCCAACACGAGGACTCTTCGCAGGCTCCAAAGCCACCAATCGTGGAGAATCGAAAGGAAACTAGAACATGACCAGGATCCCACCTATTGGCGGTACAAAGCTTCCGCCTGACCGAATTCACGTTGGCGGTGTGAGATTGCGGCCTGAGTTACCCTTCCCTTCCTTTGCTCGCAACCTCCCCTACTTATAAGGGGGTAAAGGATATTACGTGATTACAATTTGGGTTTGGTCTACTACGTGACCCCGTACCTCAAGCACTGGCTCCCTGATGCAGCACCTTGTCTTCCGACAGCCCTGCTAGCTGCATTTGCGTCACGCTCCTGGGTCAGTTTGCCGGACGGCGGGGATCGCTACACAGAGCGGCTTGTACCATTGATTGGCGTAGCACATCCAAATTGTACAGAAACAACCGAACCAACTTCAAGCCATAAGTTCGGAATGGGGCACCAAGTAATGCTTCGGTAGCATTAATAAAAGGGGTGACAGTAGCGTTTTGTTGCCGGCCCGGGAAAATCCCGGAACAAGCAATCGCAATACTAAAGGGGTGGCAATAATATAATTGTCCGGCCGGAAACGTCCCGCTTCTAATAGATTCCCTTCTACTTGTCCTACTCGTATTACGAACGGCACTACGTGGTCCTAGCAATGTCCCCATCATTTATTCTTGCGACCCACCCCCTTCCGTAAGCCCAAATCGCAAAACAAGTTCTGGGGGTGGTTGTTATTGTCACCTAAACATTATGACTCTTGGCTTAGACTGAGCTTTGGAAGATCAAATATCGCGTGCTCAGGACTGAACATCTTAAACTCAAAAGCATGCTATGCACGTGGATGATACAACATGAGAGCGCGCTCCTCTTAAGGTGAGGGCCACTAATGCAAAAGGGGGTCCCCATTTTGAGAAGAATACTTTGTACCACTGCTTACGCTTCTTTACATACCTTGTCCTCGAGTTGGAACGGCTTCTGATTGCATTTTAGTGGGATCACCACTGCACCAGGCTCTGTAGATCTCCCTCTGAAGGTACTATACAAAAATGTTTGATAATATTATTGTTCTTATAGATCATTGTTGTTATCATTATGGGTTACTTGTACGGTAAGGCCTCCTTGTACAAGTTCTACACTCAAGGGGTTTCGTTGCTGTTTAGGGGGGCAGTGCAAAAAAGTGGTCAGGACTTCAGTGTCTCCACGCAAGGCCACCGCACATACGCTGAAGAGACTACGATACCATCCAGCAAGCCGACGACATGCTTGAACTCCGTCTAAACAACTTTGGCCAGCATCTTCTACAGGCCTCCTATAGCGTCTGCACGCCCTGCAACTAATGAGTTGAATGTGCAATCTGCAGCTTCGGATGTATGTTCAGCAGAGTCGCAGCTGTCCTGATCAAAGATAATACTTGCAAATGAATCTATTCTAGGAAGAAAAATGTTCAGGATAGGTTGTCCGGATGGATATCTTAAACTATCCTGGAGATTTGTTTGCACAATTTTGTTCTGTATCTTGCTCTTTCCAGACACACGCAAAAAAGGCAATCACACGCAACTCATAGCACACACAACAAATCTGCCAAACGCACGAACGAAGCCGCAAGCCGAGCGCAAATGACTGCAAGGAAACCCAAAGTATTACTGCAGGATCAAAACGTCCAAAAGGCAGAAAGCACGGAAAAAAAGTCGTCCACCAGAATCAGCAGGATAGTTGTAGTACTACCACAAGGGGACGATATTGGCAATTGTCCAGCCTTCTACATATTGCACCTTGATGGGCCTTCCTGGACTTATAGCCGGATGCCAGCATGTCTGTCCGAGCATCCCAATCTCAACTTGGAAGTGTCGGGTCTGTTGCAATCTTGTTTATTGATGTCAGTTGTCGAGTGCTCTCATGAAGACAACGCGATTCATTTCATGCACTTCGAAGGCATCCCACCCATCTGTTGAAAGCCTTTTGGCGTTGCCAACAATGCCTGGTGCCCATTCAACTCCAAGGAAATCTGTGAAGCCCGGGCAGCTAGAGAAAAGGGTTATGAATCTACTGCCCTAAGCCTTGAACCTCTATAAACAAAACCTCTGATTATCCTTAGAAACAATTGATTTCGTTTGCTCCAGGCTCTGCATGTCGTCTGCCAGCAGCCGGATTGGTCGGAGAAGTCCCCTGATTTGAGCAGTGCTTGTTGCGTGGTAAAATTTTCCAGCAAATTACCAGTGGTTAGTAACCTATACAATACACTCCCTTATTCCTCACTAACCCCCCAGTAAGATTCATCCAGCAATTTCTCCGTTTGAAGCGAAGCCCACGCCTGTTGGGAACACTATTCCCACCTGTTTCTTGGGGTTTCTCAACATCAAGGAGCCCAGGGATGTCACAAGGATAAGTTTTTTCCTTGTGGAGGGGGGGCGGGGGGGGGCGGCGTTGATTCTGAGAACTCGTCATGATTACAGTCAACTCCCAACCGTTTACAGTGCCTCCGAACATTCAATCCCTTTCGGCACCAATCAGGCATCGTTTGGGTCCGAACCAGATCTGATGAACTATGACGGTTGTCTTCCTAGAAAAGTGCTTCCCAACTGATGTCTGGAAACCGTCGAGCGCCGGCATGTTTTTCTTGGTACAGGATGAACTATGCCTCCTACTCCACAGTATTGGAGACTCTGCAGAAATTGAAGAGATACTCAACAACTGTACGTAAAACCTTGTTTTATGCCTAAACTGGTTTGCCTAGGTAGGGCTTCAGAAGGTTCAGGGCCTGCATGATCTTTCTTGCATGTTTTGGGTGTAAGTCTCTGCTCAGAAGCCTTAGCAGCACAAGCGCAAGAGCTGGTTGGGGCGAGCGGTTTCGGATTTAAGGTATGGTTTCGGATTTAGGGTTTATACGTTTTTTTTGGCAGGCGGGCCCTTTTGCATCTGCAGATATAACCCCTTTACAGGTTTCCTCAGTTGGTCCAAATCACAAATCCCACCCAACGCACGGCTTATAAGGTATAGGGCAAAGGGTTGTCTTCTGAGCTGAAGCTTATTCTGAGACGTCCGGAAAGAAATTCGGCCGCTGGCCCAAACAGCACTCCCGCAGTAGTGGACTGTTATGATATGGATTTGTTCAAAAGGGTGGGCCCATGGGCAAGGAAGTGGACATAGGACGGGGGCGCCAGCCTCCGAGATAAATCCATGGTGATTTATCTCGGAGTTTTTTCTATGCGAAACTTCCATATTTCAGTTTGTTTGACACAGCGACCGGCACTACTGGAACAGAACATGGAGTTCCATGATTTCCTGTTCATGGAACAAAGAACATCCCGCACATACGCACACGCACACTGCATACCTTGATATATTGAGAAACAGGAAGTATGCTTCTCATACACTGCGCCCTAGTATGCCCCAAAAATCAGAGGTCTCCTTCGTAGGGCGACGAAACTTCAAGCCTGAAACTTTGATTCGTGACTTCTGACCTGCACAGTTAACGCCAAAATCTACCTGACCTCTAAGCCGACATTGACCAACTACATGAAACTATCATCATTCATGGCACGAGGAAAGGGTGAAGATCTGTCGCGTGAAAGCGAAGATGCCAACCTTCTCAGACACTTGCCAATGCCCATTCGATTGCGGGGGTTGAAGCACGCCAAAGAGGACTTGTACCGGCAACGGGGTCATGGAATCTCCTATAACCCTGCTTCAGAACAAGAACAGTCAAACCACTTGTGCAGCTCCAACGATTAGGAGGTCCGGGAATGTAGTCTTCAGGGATGCAGGCTTCTCCCACGACTTGACTAGCCGGATTGGGTTCGGCAAGCTTCACGCCGCCCAAATGAATAGCTTGCTGTGGCTCAAGGCCACCGCCACCGCCTCCACCGCCGC